AAGGCCACACAATAGGGAGCCGTCCTCCAGAGCTTGACCATCCTGTGGACGAGTCCTCTGAGCTCTGGCAGAGAGTAGGCAGCCAGGGGACCTGATGTGGCTGCATGTGACCCCAAGGTGCTTGGTTCTTACAGGGTCTGTTACCTGATAACAGGTCCTGCCAGGTGGTGACTTCCTTAAGGAAGGGCAATGGAGGGCCTGCACACAATCAGAAGCCCCTGGCAGGATTTGTCCAAGTTATACAAAGCCATCAGAGTCACGAATGGTTTTCAATCAGGGAGGTTTGCTCTCCAGTTGATATACTGGCAATTTAGTTAAGACCTTCCTGGGCAGGCACTGCTGACACCTAGTGCCCAGAGTTGGGAATGCAGGTAAACACCCTGCCCTGGCCCCCCCAATCCAGGACAGCACGTAACAGACTCACAAATTGTGTTTTGTAACCACCAATGTGTGCTAAACTATTAACTCTACATATTGTGATTGTGGCATTTCTACTAGGCATCTTAATTTTCCAGTCTCCTATCCTTCCTCTCTGCTACCCTCACTCTAATAATCTTGAACACATCTTACTGTCTCTCAAATTGCAATTTTTTTATTTTTTGTCAGTCGTGGGGCTTGAACTCGGCCTGGACGCTGTCCCTCAGCTCTTCAGCTCAAGGCTAGCACTCTACCCCTTGAGCTAAAAGCCTCTTCCAGGTTTCTGAGTCATTTATTGGAGATAAAGTCTCAGGGACTTTCCTGCCTGGGCTGGCTTTGAACCATGATCCTCAGCTCTCAGCCTCCTGAGTAGCTAGGATTACAGGCGTGAGCCACAACACCCGGCTTCACTTAATTCCGACTCTGATAATCATTTCCCAAGAATGGAGTTAGGCAGAACAACTTAACCTGTGTACTTTCTCAGCTTCAGGATGAGATGGCCTCCGCATGTCTCCTATTCCACAGGTCCTGAGGTGAGGACAGTGCACACGTGCCTATCATGTCTTCCAGTGCACCCGAGTCCTGAGGAAGATGGTGTGTTCACCTAGAGCACCATCTGGGTGGGAGGCAGCACTCACTGCACCCCAGCAGCGTTCACTGTACCACAGGTCCCGAGGATAGAGCCCATGCCTTGAGCAATGCCTGAGGGGAATCAGGGCAAACTGAATCCCGGGTCCAGAGGAGGATGGTGCACACATCTAGAGTTCATGTGGTGGGAATCAGTGCTCATTACACCATGGGTCCTGAGGCCAGTGGGCACACCTAGAGCGCCCTCTGGTGGGAATCAGTGCTCACTGCACCCTTGGTCCTGAGGATGACGACGACGACGACCGTGGGCATGTCTAGTGCTCCCTCTAGTGGGAATCTGTGCTCACTGCACCCTGGGTCCTGAGGAGAGGCAGATGGTGTGCACACCTAGAGCGCCCTCTGATGGGAATCAATGCTCACTGCACCCTAGGACCTGAGGCGAGGTGGACGGTGTGCAAGCCTAGAGCGCCCTATGGTGGGAAGCAGCACTCTGCACCGAGTCCTGAGGCGGGGAAGATGGTACACGCACATAGAGTTCTCTCTGGTGGGAATCAGTATTCACTGAACCATGAAGCCTGAGAAGAGGCAGATGGTGTGCATGCCTCGAGCGCCCTCTGGTGGGAATCAATGCTCACTGCATCCTGGGAGCCGAGGATTGGACTATGCTATGCATGTACCTAGCAACCCTCTGGCGGGAATCAGCATTCACTGCACCCCAGGTCCTGAGGGGAAGATGGTGCATGCACATAGAGCACCCTCTGGTGGGAACCAACACTCACTACACCCCTGAGGGCGTGTGTCAGCTACCCTAAGGAAATAGCATGTAAATGTGCTGCTCTTTCTACACACTCTCCTCAGTGCTGCCCAACAAGTTATGGAAAGCAGGGTCCTTCGCAGGCCATAGCTACAGCCAGGTGGTCACTTGAGTCTGTCTGGCATCCCTGGCCTCAGCTCTCAACCTCTTGGGACCAGTGGGAAAATTATGACAGGAAACAGAAGTATAACTTTCTGAAGCTGGTGAGCCTCTGCCCTGCTGATGCTGCATCCCAGGATCCCAGCGCTTAGGTCATCTGTACTTTGGAACACCCAAGACGTCCCTTGTAAACTCAGTGGGGAAAGTGACTCAGGAAGGTACATGAAGAGGCTGTTGCAGCTGGCCATGGCATCCTGCCCATGTCCACTGAGCCCAGGCTGGCCCTTCAAAGGGGGGAGAGTCGAACAGGCTCTGTATCCACACCCTTCTTCTCAGAGAGGCCTGGGAAAACCAGAAGAGGGAAAGGGAAGAAGGAGGCTGAGTGTCAGGATGCTGAGGGAAGGGACTCCTCCCCACGGGCCTGAAGGCCGACGAGGGGCCTCCCGCTCCATCAACACGTGGGCCTCTGAACACTGTGAAGTGACCTTTCTCGGGAGGCGCAGGCCCAATAGTCAGCAACAGGGGCTTCCATCCACTTCTCTCAATGTGCACATGAAGCAGCTGCCCAAATCAGAGTTCTAGAACTTTCAGGACAGCCTGCTGCCTACTCAGAATGGGAGAAAGCCAAGTGCCCTGAGAGTGCTCAAGTGGTTCACTGTGGCCAGTTTCCTCACAAGTAGCCCTTTGCAGGGTGTCTGGGCTCTGCTAGGCATACTCCTGGAATGAGCCTGGGGTTCTGCATGTTTCTGGAGAACAGAGAGATGGCACGCACTACAGCAGCCTAAGACACCAGTCACTGCTGCCTCCCTCTGGCTCTGGAGGACCTGGCCTGGTGGGAGAAAGGGATCCAGTCCACCTGGGGTAAGCAGACAGACAGCTGTCCACCCTGCCGCCTGACACATCCTCTGAGCTCAGGAACCCTAGCAGCCAGGCCCAGTGTCTTCCTCCTCCTCATCCAGGGCCGGAGGACCACCAGGTTGCGCTGGACACAGGTGAACAGTATGACAGCCTCCCAGGTTTCCCAGGACTGTTGGGGTGCGCTGGCCACAGGTGAGCAGTGTGACGGCCTCCCAGGTTTCCCAGGACTGTTGGGGTGCACTGACCAAGGTGAGCAGTGTGACGGCCTCCCAGGTTCCCGAGGACTGTCAGGGTGTGCTGACCAAGGTGAGCAGTGTGACAGCCTAACCCTAATGGGGGAGGCGGGGAGCCCCGTCTGCAGTGCAGCATCCAGGGTACACACAGGATGGGCAGCATCAGGTTGTGGTGTTTGGGGTGGAGGCACAGAAGGTCCTGGAGCCCAGTCCCCCATGGGTACCTAAAGACAACTGCTTGACTCCGTCATCAGCCTGAGGAAACTACTGGTGAGTCGGATAGATACCTCGACTCAAAGGACCTCAAAGAGCCTCAATGAAGATTACCAGACACAAAACAACTCAACTCAGACAAACTGCTAATTCCCAACTGCGCATTTCAAAACAAAACCCGCTTACTGTTACCTGGAACCCACATGACTAATCAAGAGCATAGAGCGGGGGAGGGGACCACACGCACACGGGAAAGCACACGCAAGCGAGACGCACACGCGCACGGGAAAGCACACACGCACGGGAAAGCACACGCGCACGGGAAAGCACACGCACACGGGAAAGCACACGCACGTGAGACGCACACGCGCACGGGAAAGCACACGCAAGTGAGACGCGCACGCGCACGGGAAAGCACATGCACACGGGAAAGCACACGCGCACGGGAAAGCACACGCGCACGGGAAAGCACACGCGCACGGGAAAGCACACGCGCACGGGAAAGCACACGCGCACGGGAAAGCACACGCGCACGGGAAAGCACACGCGCACGGGAAAGCACACGCACACGGGAAAGCACACGCACACGGGAAAGCACACGCGCACGGGAAAGCACACGCGCACGGGAAAGCACACGCGCACGGGAAAGCACACGCACACGGGAAAGCACACGTGCACGGGAAAGCACACGCGCACGGGAAAGCACACGCACACGGGAAAGCACACGCGCACGGGAAAGCACACGCACACGGGAAAGCACATGCACACGGGAAAGCACACGCGCACGGGAAAGCACACGCACACGGGAAAGCACAAGCAAGTGAGACGCACACGCACACGGGAAAGCACACGCGCACGGGAAAGCACACGCGCACGGGAAAGCGCACGCACACGGGAAAGCACACGCGCACGGGAAAGCACACGCGCACGGGAAAGCACACGCGCACGGGAAAGCACACGCGCACGGGAAAGCACACGCAAGTGAGACGCACACGCACACGGGAAAGCACACGCAAGTGAGACGCACACGCGCACGGGAAAGCACACGCGCACGGGAAAGCACACGCGCACGGGAAAGCACACGCACACGGGAAAGCACACGCAAGCGAGACGCGCACGCACACGGGAAAGCACACGCACACAGGAAAGCACACGCGCACGGGAAAGCACACGCACACGGGAAAGCACACGCACACGGGAAAGCACACGCACACGGGAAAGCACACGCACATGGGAAAGCACACGCGCACGGGAAAGCACACGCGCACGGGAAAGCACACGCAAGTGAGACGCGCACGCGCACGGGAAAGCACACGCACACGGGAAAGCACACGCGCACGGGAAAGCACACGCAAGTGAGACGCACACGCGCACGGGAAAGCACACGCGCACGGGAAAGCACACGCGCACGGGAAAGCACACGCACACGGGAAAGCACACGCAAGCGAGACGCGCACGCACACGGGAAAGCACACGCACACAGGAAAGCACACGCGCACGGGAAAGCACACGCACACGGGAAAGCACACGCACACGGGAAAGCACACGCACATGGGAAAGCACACGCGCACGGGAAAGCACACGCGCACGGGAAAGCACACGCAAGTGAGACGCGCACGCGCACGGGAAAGCACACGCGCACGGGAAAGCACACGCAAGTGAGACGCGCACGCGCACGGGAAAGCACACGCGCACGGGAAAGCACACGCACATGGGAAAGCACACGCACATGGGAAAGCACACGCGCACGGGAAAGCACACGCAAGCGAGTCGCCTGCTCCTTTGAAGGGCAACAGTTTTATTTCTGAGGAACTTCTTACTGCACATTTTAAAAGAGAGTCATGTAAGAAATCAAAAATTGTGATCCTCCCCTCATTCTAGAAATAAATAAGGGCATAAAATTTCTTTTTAAATCATGACACTTGGAAGTTTAGCACCAGCATCCAAAATGAACAAAAAAGGAAAAAAAAAAGCATTTACTATATATTTCGGATTTCTTTGGTAGGGGTTCTTCCCATATGGTATTAATATTTCTTCTTTCAATTCATAGTACCAAAACAGTAAAAACCAGGAAAAACTAGAAACCTAGTGGTGGCTGAAACTGGGGAGGGTGCTCTCTTGCGTTCTGTGCGGGTTTTCCTGGACTGCAGATTGCAGGAAAAGTTGCTGGCATTTTCATTTTGTAGCTGTTGGTTTCACAAAGAATAATAGCAAACATTCTAATGTCCACATCTTGGTTAGTCGTCGACTTTATTGCTTAGCTGTTTCTTTGGTGTTGGTAAGGTCGTAGGTGTGCTTTATTTTTGAATGGTCATTAATTCTTTAGGTCACCTGGGAAAAATTAAATCAAACTTTTTTAAGAGAGTCTGCCATCATCAATTATGTTCTGCAAGTTCACAACCCAAAATTTACTCGAGGCAATTCCATCAGATAATTAACCACTAAAAATGTCCCCCAGAACCATAATGGATACAAGGGATTTGCATGTGCATGTATGCATCACAAGAACAGCAGCTGAGCTACTGTTGGCAGGTCAGCAGTACTAACACATCAAGTGCAGACGTGGGCTCTTACCCTGTGGGTGGTGGAGGGGCCTGGGGAGCGGGGTCACTCAGCACCGCTCTGCTCGGTGGCCAGAGCAGGGTTCTCGGCTGGTGCTTCACCTGCCTTGGTCTAAAACACAGAACCAAACAGTGATTGTGGGAAGTTTACTGAAAGGTATCTTTTCATACCTCTGAAGGAAAATGGCCATGCAACATTTTCACTTTTTTTACATGTGTAAGCCATGGAAGAGAACTTCCAAATTACTTGCCAAAGACCACCACCCACCACACAGTCTCCAATGTATACTACTTTCAACTCAGGCTTGGAGGAAACTCTCTCTCTGGAATATTATCCTCACCAAGAGACACCCAAATGTTTAGCTCTGAGTCCCGATTAACATGAGTAATTTTTTCAGGGAATGTCAATGAATGGAATTAAACATTTTAGCTTGCTATAATCAAGCCATTCACTAAATTTTGATCCAGAGAGAAGTGCTATATTTGCTATGTGTCAGGTCATCATATAATAAAACCTCTAAAGTGTGCCCTAATAAAGACTGACCAAACCTCAGTCTTCTGATTCGACTGCCTTACTAGTAAAGGCTGACCCAACCTCACCCACCTGATCATGGCTTTACCTCTTTGCCATCCTGTGACGGAGCGTTAGGAGGACGCGGACGACGACGACAGTTGTAGGGACGCCGGTATCCATGGCGGGCAGGTGGCTGGTTTGGACCACTGGCCGCCTGTTGATTCTCTTTATCTTCAGCCTCTCCAACAACTGGTGCAGGCCGTGGGCGAGGAGGCCCCCTACAGCAGGTGCACAGAACAGGAACAAATGCAAATGCAGTGACAGGGTTCTCAAGGCTTGCTGTTAGAGTCAAGCGATCACTACTTACTGAAAGGATTGTTTACAGGGCAGTAATGGAAATGCAAAAAATTGTTTAAATTAAAATTTTTTGTTTAAAACAAAAGCCTAATTTCGCCATCATTTTCTTTTTATTTGCACACATATTTGTACACATTGAACACATATTATGACCCTGACAGGAACTTTGACAGGCAGAAGAGTAAGAAAACAAGAAACACAGTATTATTCCGGATCTGTCGCCATGCAGTCCAGTGGAGACTAATAGGAGTAAACATGGGGAAAAACAAAAGCCTATTTTAGGTGACAAACATCAGGAGTAGAGATGACAGAAAAAAAGGACAGAGATGACAAACATCAGAGGCAGAGGTGACCAACATGGGGTTGCACTAATCTATAACCAGGACAGTGCTACTCTTGCCACAGTGTAAAAAGGTCAGAGGTGACTTCCCAAGGTAAATGGTTAAGCAGCGAGAGCTAAAACCTGGTGACTTATCATCATGAGCGATTGTCTACAAATAGACCGAATCTTTTAAGGAAGAATTACAATCCTTCTCCGTGCATATATTCTTTCAATACATCTAAACAGGGAAATTTCAATGTACAGGTTAGATTGATCTTCTCTCATCTAAAAATCCAATGATTATGTTGAACCAGTAAATATTCCAAAATCTAAAAAACAATGGAAATGTTTCATGATTCTGTGCCCAGCATTTCAGTTAGGAAGCTACTGACCGGTAGAATGAAACGTCATTCAGGAAGTTCTACTTCTACTCACCTCAGGGTTAGATGAAAAGACAAAAGCTTACAGTATTAAAAAAACCGTGAGAGTCGGCACTGGTGGCTCACACCTGTCATTCCAGCCACTCAGGAGCCTAAGATCTGAGGATCTCAGTTCAAAGCCAGCCTGGGCAGGAAAGTCTGTGAGACTCTTATCCCCAATAAACCACTAGAAAACCGGAAGTGGCACTGTGGGTCAAGTGGTAGAGCGCTCGCCTTGAGCTGAAGGGCTGAGGGACGGCGCCCAGGCCCTGAGTTCAAGACCCACGATGGACCCAAAAAAAAAGTCAGAAGGGTCTTTCCAAAACATCAGGCACAAGAAAATAACCTGCTGTGATACTGATGCCAATAGTAATTTTAACAGCAAGAGGAACACGTGATGTTTAACATCACTAAAAACATTAAAGTCAAGACCTTAGATGCATTAGCATGTTCAGTCCTGCCATTGTAGATTTCCTGATGTCCAATTTCTGGACCTGTTGGCTGCAGCTTCAGTCCACAAGCTCGCATGAGAACATACAGTTATTAAACTGCAGACTAGAACTTAAAGAAGACAATGTGATCAAGAGCCTCATTTAATCCATACAGTAGAAAACTTCAGTTTAAAAATATTTAGCATCCCAAATACTGACATGCAATTCTTCTTCCATTACTAGCACTACCATTGAACTGCCCACCAATTAACATCAGTTTGTCTCTTTAATAAAAATAAAGCATGATTATAACCCTTGCACTCAGTAGGCTGAAGCAGCATCTCAAGGCTGAAGTCAGTATGGGCAGCATAGCAAGGCCTTGTCTCCAAAAAAGAAAAAAAAAAAAAAAGGAAGTGGCACTGTGGCTCAAGTGGTAGAGGGCTAGCCTTGAGCTGAAGACCTAGGGGACAGCGCCCAGGCCCAGAGTTCAAGCCCCACGACCAACCAAAAAAAAACCTAAAAGAGTTACATATTAATTAACATCACACATAAGTTGCAGAATATAAATAATGGTTTGATACAGGTATAATGCAATAGTCCAGTTGTCAAAAACAAGAAACTGTTACAACAACATCTGACAATACAGAATAGGCAAATATTGAAGGCATGGTCAGAGCAGGCACATCTTCCAATTACATATATAGTAGATCAACAAAACAGACACATATCCATTCTACTGTAGCTCAAGGCTTCCATTCGTCATGACCTACGTAGAAAAGTCACATACCTACGGTACCTTGGGCGGTATGTGGGATTTCGATGAACTGGTCCTGGGAGCTGAGCTCCCTCAGGGACTCCATCCTTCATCTCTCCAATCTCGCCAGCCTAGTGGGGTAATGAGAGCAGAAGGAAAATGAGGGTCATGGCCTGGTACGTAACAGGGTCAAAGAACACACAGCTGTGGAAATACACACACACACACACACACACACACACACACACACACACACACACACACACACACACAAACCAGTACTGAGGTTTACACTCAGACCTCAAGCTTGTTAGGCAGGTGTTCCACCACTACAGTTTCATGTTTTCGTACAGGCTAGCCTGGACAATAATGTTCCTACCTACCTGACAAATGTATGCCCCTAGACCCAGCTATTGACTGAAATGTGTTTTGTTTTTTGTTTTTATTTTGCCTGACCCCTTTAATTACAATACTTTGGATCTCAGACTCCCAAGTATCTGAGATGACAGATACAAGTCACCATGCCTGGCCTCTAGAACTGCTTTTTTCTGTTTAATTTTTTTGATGCCAGTACTGAGGCTTGCACTCAAGGCCTCGGTGCTCTTGCTTAATTAGCTTTTCATTCGAGGTTGGTGCTCTACCACTTGTACCACACATCTCCATTTCCAGGCTGTTCCTGATTACTTGGAAAAAAGTTTCACAAACTTTCCTATCTGGGCTAGCATCAAACTCCGATCCTCAGAACTCAGCCTCCTGAGTAGCTACAATTATAGTAGGCTTGAGCCACCAGAGACCAAACTCCTTTTTGCAAAGTAAAATAGTGCTCCACTGTAAGTTGAACTCTTTCAGTTGCAACAGTGAGCTAGTGAGTTGATAGATGTTTACAAATAACAGGAAAGGGAAAAAGAGAATTCAGTCTTTCACCTTTTCCCCAGAGCACAACATGTTACAACATTTTAAAAGCCAACATTTTCTCCTCTTGGAAGACAATCTATTTCATACAGAAGAATGCAGTACGTGTGACCACTGGGACATTTTCAACACATTCCAACACAACGACTTTACAACCTGACTCCACCTCCACCCCGCTAAGTGCTCACCAGCACTTATCTAAATCTGAACCGCGGATTGGTGATGTAACTCAGGGGCAGACTGCATGTCAGCACGCCAGGCCCTAGAAAGAACTAAAAATAAGCCCACCACTAACACCTGAGAGACATCACAGTATAAATATATCCCAACCTCTTTCTTGAAAATAAATCATTAAATTCTTCCCAATGAAGGATTTCATTACAATTTTGTATTTCAGTAAGAGTCAGAAGACAATCAGAAGAGAGAGTCATGAAGACAATCAGAAGAGTCATGAAGACAATCAGAAGAGAGAGTCATGAAGACAATCAGAAGAGAGAGTCAGGAGGACAATCCATCAAGCTTATCAACCTACCTGATTGTCTATTTACTTTCTAATCTCTTCTCAGCTCATAACCAAAAATGTTCCTATTCTTTCTTGCTACCTACTCCCCATTCTAACCCAGTTTGTCCCCTCCTTCTCTCTTTCACTATACATCTTAGCTTGTTTATTCCATATCTCTATCAAGACCTGTAAACGCGACCAGAGAGCATCCACAGTTTTCTCTACTTAGAAAAACTTACAGAAAAGTTGTAGATACAGAGTCCAGCCCTCAGACTACACGGGGGTTTCACTGCCTATACAGTGTTCCACAATTTGGGTCATTTGGTGGATTTCTAGTGAGTTCACTTGGTTCATTCATCTTCAACAGAGAAAGCCAAAGAAAGCCCTTTTCATCACATCACAAAGAAACCCTCTCAATCTCTGTCTATGCACTCCCTCCCACTTTTGTCCTTACCACACCACTAACCTCCTAGATCAAACCTAACAACCACTTCTCAGCTTCATTTCCTCTAGCGACTGGCAGCACTGGACAGAACTCCTTCCTGAAATACATCCTCCCAGCCTGTCCGGTTTCACAGTCTCCTGCTGGCACCTGTTTTCTCAGTCTTTAAAAGGTTTATGTCCCAGAAGTGAGTTCTCTAATTTTATTTTCACTTACACTCACTCAACTGGCAGTTTACCTCACCCCACCCTCTGGCTTTCAGGAGGGTGTCTTATACATGCAAGGTTGTACTGCAGCTCCAAGCCTCGTCTTCAACCTTCCTGCAAGATGGTACTTAAAAAACCTGCACCTCTGCACCTTCCGGTCTCTTCTCAGTTTCACTTAAATGAACCGTATCTTGCTACTTCATCTCGCAACTTTTTACCTCTGCTTTGTTTGTTTTGGCTACTTTTTAATACAGGAAAATACACACAACTCAAAAAATTGTTTTCCAAACCCTATCTTTCATTGTTGTGCTCATAGTTTTTTAAGTCAGCAACCACAAATGTGTTGCTTACTCCATACACCACATATTCAGAGCTGTTACTTCTGTGTTTAAAATCTCTTCCTGTCCTGACTGCTGGCTCTCACCGCCCGCTAGCACAAGCCAGGGACGATCATCTGCCCACTGGAAGTGGCCTGAGGCATCTCTCCCCACCCTACTGTGGTCCCTGAGACAGTGACCTTCTAAACGTGTTCCCTCCTATCACACCTAGAGCAAAACGAAGGTCTCCCCTACGTTCACAAGCATTCATGACTCCTCCATCCTACCCCCAACCCCCGCCCAGGTACACCTCAGACCCTTCCAACCTCTGCTACAAGGAGAGAAAAGGATAAACAATGTAAATCACATCCTGCCACTTTTTGTCCATTTTCATGTAGGTAAAAGTTACTTTAAAAAAAATCTGGAAATCACTGCTAATTTCAAAGGCTGTAGAAAGAATGGGGTAACATTAATTTCAGACATCTGCCACTTGGTGTTAAACATTGTTGCTCTATTAACTAATTCTCTTCTCAAAGATTATAAATGATTGCTAGCAGCTCAGTAGTAGCTACACACACACACATTTAACAATGAAAATCATTCTGTCCTGGACATATCTTGCTACTTTGTCTTAAAGAACAATACACCACCACTGGCCCCACAGTAGAACACAGAAGCAAATATAACTTTCCTACTTTACCTTAATAGCTTTTACCCTTCATAGAGTCTACATATACTTTTCAAAGACAACACACTGGACCTTAAAGCTACCTTATTATAAGGAAGACACTTTTAAGAGATTTTAACATTTGCTTTAAAGGAGATTTTAAATCAGTAGATACATAAAAATATGACAGTGTGTTTTAGAAAATTCTAAGGGAAAGTTGAAGCAATCTGCAATCAGTTTTTTCATTTCTAACACTGAATAGGGCAAAGGTCAGCCTGAATTTAAAAAAAAAAAAACAACAACAGCACATGCAGTTATGTGAATAGAACACACATGCTCAAAGTTATTTTTAGTTTTAGTTTCTGCACATGATACACCACACAGCACCATGACCTGAAACTCCTAAGGTGAAATACACTCTTCTCAGAAAACAGAACATATAACACATTAAATCCTGAGAAGAGTGATTATCAAAGAGAGGCAATATGAAGGCATTAAACATAAATGTGCATCACAATCCCACGACTTTTTCACATCCAGACTTCCTTCCAAGTGTTCCATGCCCAATGGCTCCACACACGTGAACCCAACTTGCTATTCTTAGCACATTTGTCAGGGGCAGCTGTTGTGTCCAAGGAGAAAACAAGAAGCAAGGCCGAAAGAGCACAGCCATGCAAGACGGGGCAGGAGGAGTGTCACAAACAACAGGCTGGACGTCACCCTCAGCTGCCACATGACATGGCGTGGGGCGGGTGGTAGAAGGGACACAGAGGATAAAGCCTGTGGCTACTGTAGATAGTGGACGCCTTCCTCACTTTCCAAGTTACTGCAAACTAAAAAGTTGGTACAGGGCTCATTAATAACAGAATAAACTCTCAAAAGCTCTACTAGTAATATTTTCCCACGCATGAGGTTCGACAACCATCTACATTCTCTGTAGTTTTCCTGAAAGGTCAGCACCCTCATCTAATTTGGTACTTTAAATGTGTTTTCTATGTTGCAGGCATTTTGTTGTTATACTCTTTTTATTGAACTTGAAAGTGCTCACCCTTTGGTATAGGCATTAAATACCTATATTCATCTCACAAAACTTCATAGATAACTGGCAGAGATGAGATTCAAGTCCAGATCTTATCCACACTTTTACACATACCACCTGCCTCCATTTTTCTTACTGTTCTATAAAATTCGGTCCCCTCCTATCATGGGTATGACCATGTGCTGGTGCTTCTACAAACGTTTCTAGAATGATTTCTCTGGAATGATTTCTCTGGAAAGACCGACTGAAGGCCTTGCTTCCGCTTCTGCAGCATGGACAAGCCGCAAGCCAGGTGTTATTTCCAGCCGCTGGAGTTGGAGGAGGAAGAAGAGGAGGAAGAGGAGGAGGAGGAGATGGAGGAGGAGGAGGCAGAGGAGGATGGAAGTCCAGGTGCATTCTGCATTACCTGCATTCTGTTGGGATGGGGAAAGACCCGCGAGCGCCGGTCAAAGGCCTGTCCCACGTGGTATGGCGGGAACCGCCGCTGCCGGTACTGGGGGCGGTACTGGGGGCGGCGCAGCTGACTCCGCGCCCCTGGGAACTGCCCTTCGGTGGCTGGGGGCTCAAATCCTTCACTGCTGCCGCTCCCTTCCTCCTCCTCCTCCCCAGCGTACTAGCGAAGCAAACAAACAGAGATTCAGAGAAAGTTTCAGCAAGGACAGAACCAAAGAAAACCACTTAGGAGGAAAGTCGCCAAAAGAAAACCAAAATAATAAAAAAAAAAACTTCCCAGAACAATCAGTTATTTACAGACAAAATGCATTTACCCCAGATTTCCTGGGATAAAGTACACTGTGATTACATTAGATCTATGCAGATAATATATCAAGAAGCAGAAAAGCAAGCGCAATCTACCTATTAACAGATTTAAGTCTCATCTAATTAGAACTAGTAATAGGACTTGACTAACCCAAAGGAGAACTAACTACAGGACTTACATTTTCCTCCAATGTGTCTCCCAGCCTTTGCCCATTGGGACAAAGCCAGGACACTACCAAGAAAAGGATGTACTTCATGACATTATGAGCATAAGGGAGCCTAAATGGTTTCTGCCTGGAGCACTTCTCAAGTGCAACTGAGTCTCCAGGGCCACCACAAAGTCAGTTGTCTCAGGATGCTACTGAGTGGTGTTTGCCTTCTTCCTCATCATCCCTGGTGAGCGTGAGGTCTGGGGACAATGACACACGGTCTACACGCAAAACTGTAAGACAATCCAGCCACCGTCAATGAAACCACACACCAGAATCAAAGAAGAATCCAGCCATCGTCTATGAAAAACCATGCACCAGAGAATCCAGTCATCGCCTGCGAAACCATGTACCAGAACCAGAGGAGATCCAGCCATCATCTATGAAACTACACATCGGAGAATCCAGCCATCGCCTGTGAAACCACGCACCAGAACCAGAGGAGATCCAAGCCATCTCCTGTGATACCACACTTCAGAGAATCCAGCCATCATCTATGAAACCATGACACACCAGAGAAATCCATGAAAGTATAATGCAATGCCACTCTTCTCACTCAAGGTAAAAATCTTGATGTTATTTAAATTAACAAATAATGAGCTAATTTCTCATACAATAGTAAGTATTAACATACATAAATTAAAATTCTAGATCTGCAGTAGCATCTACACAAGTAAATGAGGCCAAAACCAAAAACTTAAGAGAACCACTAACTTACTTCATGATTCTTTATGTTTAAAAATAAAGTTTTGGTTGGGCTTTAGCAGTAATAAGTCCTAATGTTAACCATTTCTAACAAGAGACCATACTAACAACGAAAATTAATGGCACATTTTCTATAATTTCCTACTACTTCACATACTGTCATTTTATATTTTAACAAATGTGGCCACCAACCACCACTCAAGGGCTTTGTGATTTGAAAACCCACTTCATAGAGGGATAAGTAAACAGTACTATTACTTATGAAAACTTAAGTTTTCAATGAATACATTAGAAACTACCAAAAGCCTCTATGGACTCATTTCTTATGGGGAATAACAAACCCACATGCAAAACTATATTCTTACCAGGTGCTGGTGGCTCACACCTGTCATCCCAGCTACTCAGGAGGCTGAGATCTGAGGATCACAGTTCAAAGCCAGCCGGGGCAGGAAAGTCTGTGAGATTCTTATCTCCAATGGACCATTAGAAAACCAGAAGTGGCACTGTGGCTCAAATGGTAGAGCACTCGCCTTGAGCTCAGGGACAGTGCCTGGGCACAGAGTTCAAGTCCTACTACCGACAAAAAAACAAACAAAAAAACTACATTCCCCAGTAGAAACTGACTCACCTACAGGCTCAACTATTCAAATTTCAGAAAAATCAAGCCATTCTACTCTATGTAAAATAAGGATCAACAATCAATTCATAATTACAAAAAATGTATTTCTACAGGAAATATTCATCACAATATTAACTCTAAGAATAAGCATTTTGAAGGAATGCCTCTATCTTTTCAGTTTTATACAGCCAAATCCTTCATGAAAAACTCTAAGACAATTATAATGGCAGCACTGGTGGTGCATGTACTTGTGAGACACTGTAAGCTACTGGAAACAGTAGAAGACATCCACTTATGTACACTTCCAGACTTGTGCCATTTTTTCCTTAAGTCCTGTTTCCGTTTCTGGAGGACAACATCTCCTAGAAAAATTCAAAGATTTTTCTATCACTTTTACTTCTGAATTGGCCAAGAATTCAAACTGATCACAGCTAGATCTCTGAGAATGAGTATGAACCTAAAAGTTAATGAAATGACAATGAAATTTATTAAATAAGATAATGTAGTAAGTTGCGATAGTAGCTCATTCCTAATCCCTACCCCTCATGGCTTATTAATTAAAAAAACAAATATGGCAATTAAAACAAGAGTGAGAAAAATACAGAAGCAGATGAGATGCACTAAGAAATATGATAGACAGGATGTAAAGATGAGTGAATAAAGAGGAAAACATCTTAATAAGGAGAAAGAGATATGTTATCAAAACAGAGACCACTGGAAGGAATGACTACAGGTATTTCATTCCACTAAGATGTTGAGTCTCAAGTTTTTCTTTGCATGTCAGTTATCTGTGCTCTCAAAACTCTATGGTGTCATATTCTATGGCATTGGTCCCTACTTCTATTTGCAAAAGCCTTTAGATTTCTTTAAACTGAGTCTCCTAAGTTCTAACTAGATGGGTTTCTACAATTCTCTTTCTTTGATCTGTGACCAATCTAAAGAACAAAAGATCTCTAACTTATTTGCTGCTTCTTTATTTAGAAATAACAGCAAAATGTTATGCTACATAAAACAGCTACATTTTTTTTTTATTTTTTTGTTGGTAGTGGGGCTTGAACTCTGGGCCTGGGCACTGTACCTCAGCATTTCAGCTCAAGGAAAGCGTTCTACAGCTTGAGTCATGGCACCACTTCCAATTTTCTAGTGGTTTATTGGAGATAAGAGTCTCACGGACTTTTCCTGCCCGGGCTGGCTTTGAACCTCGATCCTCAGATCTCAGCCTCCTGAGTAGCTAGGATTACAGGCGTGAGCCACCGGGCGCCCAGCTATTTACTACTTTTGTGACTGGTAGCTGTACTGCCTATTCTCAAGCTTTATCCTTATTTTTTTTGTCACCAAAGAATGATTTTCTTAGGTCAGTTGTGTCAGTAACAACAACAAAAAAACCAAAAACCTGACTTAACCTAACAATGAGAACCCAAATCCCCTCTGCCAGTGAGTGCCATAGGGCCACATTCTGGCCAAACAAAAGTATCAAGAAAAGGAAAAGCTTTGGAAAATCTTGGCACTGCCTACCTGGAATCTCCTCTTTACGAGGTAATTACACTTCTGTGACTTGCAGAAAGGGCATTCAACGGATACAACTTGACTGGCAAGTTTCCAATGAGACTGATAGCTATGGATAAATTCTGGCACTAAATGTTGCCTGACCCACACCCCACAAAAAAAGAAAAATCTCTTATCCTGTCGTCAGACTGGGTATCTCTAGGTATGCTTATGTCTCTGATCCTATTAAGACTTGCATTTAATATTTAGTATTAACCAAGAGAAAACTTTCAATAACTGGTCAGGCACAAAGACAACCTACGTTACGGGGAGGACCACGGCGCCTGCCATAGTAGCCACGTCTGTAACGGCGCCGATCAGCAGCGTAGCGGCTCCCTTCCACTGGAACTCCATCTGGGCCAGTCACATTGGCTGCTTCAGCACCCTGAGAAAGAAAACAAACAGAACCTCCACATTGTAAAGAAATCAAACTAACTTCCCTCCAAAAGAGCTACAATGTGACTCCTTCCTATTGTCATCTCAAATATAGGTTCAATTTTACCTACATGCTGAAGGTGCTTGATGTCATGACTTACAGGCACACAGCTGGTTAAATTAAGCCTGCTTGCATGGGTGACCTAGTTCAAGTACAGCAAGTAGTAAAGAAAACACAACTGCGTAAGTAGAAGCAACGTAAGACCTAGGAGAACGTTCCTTGATGGGACAGAACCAAGGGTGACGCCAGTCTTCATAGAATATGCTGCTATCTGTGCTGCCTAGGTCCCCCATGAGTCCCTATGGTGCCCAGCTCTATGTCAGAGGGGGGAGGGCAGCCTCCCCTCTCATGTCAGAGGAGGAAACCTCTCTCATCTTGGCAGTGGCAGCCAAGAGTCCTTAATTTAAAAACACAAGGTCTACTTTGCAATCCATCTTTAGACCTTCCTATTATTATTGATACATACTTAGGAACCCTTATACAGGGACAAATAAGTCATGTTTCAGTGATATTATTAACTGTGACAGGGAATTCATAAAGAATATGGATCAATTTGTAAAAGTTTGAATTCTGAAAACAAGCAAAAGTAAAAACAACCTGGAAAAAATACTTTAAGAGCTGGATGGGTTACCACAGATTACTGCACCACAAATTTGCTGGAAAGTGATGTGAAATTCCAAGGAATTTGACAGATACTCTGTCAATCATACTGGTAAGGCAACCACTTAAATTTCAAAGTACATTAAAAAAAAGACAAAGCAATTTTGTCTTACAAGAGTTTGCAAACCATAGGAATCAGGACTGTGGAACAGTGTGAAGGGCCAGGGAGAGAAGATGGCGGTGAAGTCACTCGATCCAATTAGTTTAGAATCTAAGCTCCTGCCATGGCACTTGTAGCATGGGCTGAATCAAAGTTGCAAGTTTATTTAGATACATTCCATTTCTAAAAACAGGCCCAAGATAGAAAGCAATGGTCAAATATGAATTCTCTTCTGAAATTGTCTTTATTATTTGTAAGCAGAAATGCTTACAACCTTTATATATGGTTGGTAGCGGGCCAAGATCTAGCATTTATTAGTGAATATAGTTAAGGGGGGACAGCACAGTGGCCGTATTACAGGGCACAGGGCCGATGCATGTCTAGGGGAACATAACTGGGGAGGCATCTGACCACACAGGGATCAGGGAGTGTCCTTGCTACTCATTGAGATATGCACTTGAGGTGGCCGGAGGGGCTGAACTTGGCTCCAGTCACATATGTCTGGTTCTGCAGCTTGGAACAGAGGCTCAAGAGGACCTGGCCAAGGTGAACCTTGGCCACAGAGCCCTGGGGCTTCCCAAAGGCACCCTCAATTCCTGTCTGGAGTCTAGAATGCAACACATGAGTTCAGTTCAGAGGCACCTTGTGTCCAGTCTCCAAGGTCCCTTAGGACAAGCTACATAAGTAACAGGATCTATGCACTGCTCAGGAAAGCTGTTGCTTATAGCCACTACAAACCATACCCCCATGAGCAGAGGAACTCAGTTAGCTTAAGTGGCCACAAACAGAAAATCTTGTGCTTTATTGTTCTTGGGTTTGTGTTTTGTTTGTTTGTTTTTGAGTCAGTCTTGCTGTGTAGCCCAGGACAGCCTTGCACTCCAAATCCTGTTTCAGCCTCCCAAATGCTGGGAGAACATGAACCACAATGCCCAGCAGGAAGCATTCTTACGAAAAGAAATCTGTTGACACCTGGCATGGTGGTACAGCCCTCCATCTCAGGTACTAGGAAGGCTCGAGCAGGAGGAGCCTTAAAAAACCAAGAAGAGAGGGAAAGAGAAGGGGACGGGGAAATGAAAAAGGAAAGGAAAGAGGAAGAAATAAAAAAAAAAAATATTTTGTCCCAAAATAGCTTTAATGCATTTTTAATGCCAGAAAACACTAGCATTTTTCTTCAGTAATGAAGTTATTTTATGAAATGAGAAGTTAAAAGCATTTTGGGCTGGGGTGTGCCTCAAAATGATAGGACACCTATCCACCATTATGAGGCCTTGAGTGAAAATCCCAGTTCCATCAAAAAAGTTTTAATATACTGAAGATGTTTAGTATAGCACTCAATAATCAAAACTATTTCTGCTGAGCAAGAGCAATAGGCCCCGAGTTCAAGCTCCAACAACCTCACCAAAACAAAGATAAATACAAAATCACTTTCTCCTTTCCTAAAAAAGTCCTAAAATACAGGTAATTCAAAGGAGCTAAAAATCTTTGACTATGCAAAAAACTGTTACATCGTGGTTACTGCTCACCTTTTCTCCTTCAACCACATCAAACTCAACTGTCTCTCCATCCCCTACACTGCGCAGGTATTTCCGTGGATTATTCTTCTTGATGGCTGTCTGTTAAGAAAGAAAACAAAAGATTCTATTTCAGCATATTGCAATGACACTGCACAACACTATCAAAACAATTTTTATCACTTTCAAGTTTACTTGATCTCCAAATAAACCATAAAACCATTTATTTTATAAATTCTTTGGAAGTCATCAGTTTTTCTTGTCTACAAAACATCTTCACCTAAAATGTATGCTTGTGTTTCTGTGTAAGATGTGAAGTTATTTTTCGGCCTTGCTGAGGAGGCACAGTGCTACTTGTGGGTTTTTGGTGGTTAACTGAAGAGTCTCACAGGCTTTCTGCCCGGACTGGCTTTGAACCTCAGGCTTCACATCTCAGCCTCCTAAGTAGACAGGACCAGGCATACTTTCACAGTTTTCAATCAAAGAAAAGGGCCAATCATTGTTGCAACAAACTTCTGTATCTTTGGCTGATGCCCTAAACAGTTAAAGGGGCTGAGCTCCCATGAAATTAGGTCAACCTCACTTTTAGAGAGGGATTAGGTGTGTGTAATCCAGCCCTTCCCCTTCTGTGAGTAGGAGGGGTAAGGGAAAAAAACACAGTGAGTCAATAAGGCAGAGACCTCACCCACACCACAGAGGAAAAAGGCAGCTTAGGACAGGATACATGCGCAGGCACAGCCCTTGCCGCCATTCCAAAGCCAGCCCCACCCTGCAGGCTGAGTCCCTTTTCCTGTTAAACTGGGCAGACTTCAACACACTGAGGTGACTAACCACACCTCCTCACAGGGCCAGAACCAGGTCACAGGCTCCGGCAAGCTGTGATGCCAATGCTGGCCACAGCAGAGAAGCTCCCTAACACCTACCATTCTACAGCTACAGCACACAACACTTTTCAGTCTGTCATGACTTTAAAAGTATCTGATCTTATGAAAAAGAAATCAACTACAATCATCAAGGTACAGTATCAATGCATCTGCTCAAGAATAAATATAGAAATCAGAGGGCTTTTTAGACACCACTATCTCCAACTGTCAAATTTTTTTTTTGGGGGGTGGGGGATGGGGGTCTGGTCATGGGGCCTGAACTCTGGGCCTAGGTGCTGTCCCTCAGCTCTTCAGCTCAAGGCTAGCGCTCTACCACTTGAGCCACAGCACCACTTCCGGCTTTTTTCTTTTTGCTTATGTGGTGCTGAAGAATCGAACCCAGGGCCTCATGCATGCAAGGCAAGCGCTCTACCACTGAGCCACCTTCCCAGCCCTCCAACTGTCAAATTCTATCCCAATACCTTTACAGACCTAAAACAGAGGAAATAAAAATCAGGAGAAAAAAAAACACCGTTGAGACAAAGTTCCAGAACGAATACACTAGCATAACAATGCTAATATAAACACTCATTCCACACAACTCATCGAAAAATAAATGTAGTTCAAAATGTACAAACTCTGACCCTTCCCTTCCCTGTGGGGAAACATTCCAACAAAAGGGGCTGCCTGCCTCTACAGCTCACAAAGCACTGAAGGAAGCTCAGAGTCGCATGCACACCAAGAGAGGGAAACAGGAAAGTTTTACTGAGGACAGTCTTTTAACTTTAAACTGTTAGTTTAAATGATCATTATTTCATTCAACTGCAAACATGAAGCTGAAAATAGTTAATACAATGGTATAAGCATCTGCCAATCATAAAAAATGTGAAATTGAGCTCTTATCCCAAAATGGACCACAGAAGTGTTTATGTATGATTTTTAGAACTCACTTTTGGAAAAGGAACAAACATGTATTTAAGATTTCCCTCCTTGGGGCTGGGAAGGTGGCTCAGTGGTAGAACACTTGCCTTGCATGCATGAGGCCCTGGGTTCGATTCCTCAGCACCACATAAGCAAAAAGAAAGCCGGAAGTGGTGCTCAAGTGGTAGAGCGCTAGCCTTGAGCTGAAGAGCTGAGGGATAGCGCCCAGGCCCAGAGTTCAGGCCCCATGACCAGACCCATATGGAAAACTTAACATTTATAATCCTTCTTACCTGATGTACAAATACATCTTCTTTGGTGTCATTCCTGTGAATTAAAAAAAAAAAAAGTCTCATAATTCAGTACTTTTCTAGTGAGGATGTGCAGAAACTTTTTAAAAAATGATTAGATCAAAATCACAATTTTTTGTTTCCTCTAAACTCAAGACAGCTAGCTGGGATAGAGTCTCATTGAAACATTTTCAACTCGACAAGATACCAGCTTTCCTCCACATTACCAGAGCTGACATCCAAGCAGTTTTCAACATTCAGAAACATTCCTTTCCCCTCACCTCTTCCTAAATCACGCGGTATGTAACCAGAGCCTTAGATTTTCCTCCCTCCAAAAGCAAAGCAAGACAGTTATAAGGACAGGGCACAGCTGTGAACTAGGCTCTCCTTACACTGAAATTTAAAACAGATCTGCTACCACCCTTAACCCCCACCCCCCAACAACTGAAACCAACAAGAAAAAAAAGGAAGAGCAGCAAAGCGAAGCAAAGGACACATCCTATAAAAACAGCTCGTGTCCAAACAGCGTGCAGTCACCCCAGGTCTTACACGCTCTAAAGTTATCATCATTTTTAGAAAACACAGTTCCCCACAGGAACTGGATCAGACCTAGGTTCCAGGTCCAGCTCACAGACTCACTAGTGTGTGGCCTTAGAGAAACTGTTCAAACATGTCAGGAGTCCATTTTGCCATCAGTAACATTATGGGTATGAAAGCTCTTCCCATTTCTGATTTTATTTCCTATCCTTTTTTTTTCTTTTAATGATTAAGATTGTATGAAGTTATCAATTATTATTCTAGAAATGTGTTTTAATTAACATTTAATGACTAGTAACTTACAAATGCCATTTCATCGAGTACCTTCCAATTTATACAACCCATTAATAAAGAATGGCAAAACACAGGTATAAACTTAAAACATGTAGATATACATACCGATTTATAAATCCATATCCATTTCTGACATTGAACCACTTCACAGTTCCAAGGACTTTGGTGGCTAAAATAAGATTAAGCAGATAAATTAGCAACTGACCTAAAAAGAGATAATGCTCATATTACTAAGATTTGGATAATATTATATATATATGTGTGTGTGTGTGTGTGTGTGTGTGTGTATGTATATATATATATATATATATATATAAACGCATGCCTGAGTAAACCCTTAATAGCTTGATTCCAGCAGAAATTAGGAAAAGAAAATAGAGCAAGTCAAAATGTAAGGAAATACTTTACTAACCAACAAAAACTCCAAGTGCAAAAGGGGAGTCACAGTGGAAGGATTTAGCATATCACTTCCACATTGTAAAACATCAGGCATACTTTAGTCAGCCACAGATAGCCCCTTGTCCATGGCCAGTGCACAAAGACACAGCCCTCCCATGTCTGCACTCCCCAACCTGAGACATGACCTGGCAGGCCTTGTTCAAATATCAATGATGAATTCTGGCCTCTGTTTGTTTGCCCTACAGTCTGTTGTCGAAGGGAATCAAACTGAGTATTTGCTATAAGATTAATTTGTTTCTCTACCTTCTTCATGAGCAAAGTACTACTGTTCCACGATGCCCCAATCTTTAGGGGGGAAAAAAATCAACAAATTCTAGCTTCACACAATCTGTATTTTGTAAATACATGTTTATCTTAACTGTTTCAAATATGGTTCTTGGAAGCAATTGTGAATATCAACTTTAGAACCTTTAGGAAATGTCTATGTGCACATCCAGAAAGTACGTAAGCCGCCTATAAGAAACAGAAATATTGGCAGCACAGACAATAATAAGACTACTATTTTTTTTTTAAATAGGTCTCAGTACTGGGGTTTGAACTCATGGCCTGGAGATTACCACTTAAGCCACAGCTCAACTTCTAGCTTCGTGGTCCTTAATTGGAGATAAGCATCTCACAGGCTGTCAATCTCAGCCTCCCTACAGGCATTCAGCTAAGGTTTCCTTTCGCCTCTTCAAAACCATTGCAACAATGAGATGTTCAAGTCATTATGTCGAAAATGAACTTTACAACTTTGGTTGGGGAGGAGGGGATGGGCAGGGGAAACAAAGGAGGAGGCTACAATGCTTGATAAGAAATGTACTCATTGTCTTGCCCATGTAATTGTAACCCCTCTGTACAGTATTTTCACAATAAAAAAAACCATAATACATAGAGAAAAAAAACCAAACTTGTCCTTGGGACTTGCTCTGCTGTTGGCAGGGTGATTTTTCACTTTTACTAGAATAGTAAGTTTGGGGAAACAATCTTTGAGAAAGAAAAGATACTCCAGCCTGCATCCACTAAGCATTCTCCAGCTCTACTTCCAAGTAATGCCTCTCCAGTGAACATAAAGCCATAAGAGTATTTAGTGTATAATCCAGAACCACCAGCTCAAGGGAAGAAGAAACACTTGATGTTTCAGATGCAAGTGTACAGAAGCTAGATTTTTTTTTTTAGAAATTATATACATCTAGGTTATATATGATTTCAGATTATACATTTATTATGCATCTCTCATTTGCCTAAAAGTTAATGACCTTGCAAGATAGAAGCATAGGACTGTTTTCGATGTTTGCCACCATGAAAGTACACTGATTAGAAAGGTATTACTAATGATGGGGGGTCGGGGGAAGGGGGGGTGGGAAATGATTTAAAAACCCAACTGCCATCCAGGTTGAATGTTACTGCATTCACAATGTACGTGAGAAAAAAAGTGAATTCTGGAAATATGCCCAAGGATTTCATAAAGCCAAATAAATTCATAATTTCTTTTACAGCCATTCAAGTCCACCTCAAATACACACGAGCAATACATGAAGACCACAATGAATTCATTTAAAAGAAAGCTGTTAGGCTGTGGAGGCTCAGCCCAGTAATCCTAGCTACTCAGCAGGGGAAGCAAAGTCCTCGAGACATCTCCAGGGGGGGGGGGGGGGGGGGAAGGCCAGAAACAAAGAAAGCCAGACAGAGGTGTGGCTCAAGTGGTAGAGCGCCAGACGAGCAAAAAAACCAACTGAGAGCACCAGGCCCTGAGGTCAAGGCCCAGAACAGGAAAGAAAGAAAAGGCAACTTTCTGCGTCTTCATGAACACTGCTCTCCCTGGCTTAGGTGCCAGCTTGCGGATCTACAACACAGGATCAAAGAAGCGACATCAACTTCCATTCCGGTCAGCAGGCTCGGGGCGTGCGCGGGACTGCTGGGCCCCGCACGGGCGGTGACTCCGGCCGAGCAGCAGCAGCAGCAGCGTTCCATCGAGGACAAGGCGTGTTAGCACTGCTCCGCGCGGCCCGGAAGCACCAGGTGGTGCTGGTCCACGGCCGGCGACCAGGGAGGCTGGGCGGGCCTGGTGCTGCTGAGCTCCGAACCCGGCGAGGACCAGGACCTCCGGGGCCGGGGCCGGGGCCGGCGGCCTGGGGACTCAGACCCACGCTTCCCGCGCGTTCCCACGTGTTCTTGTGTGTTCTCAGGGGTTCCTGCGCGTCCCCGCGCCTTCCCGTGCGTTCTCACGTGCTCCCGCGCGCTTTCCTGTTCTGGTCCTAGACCCCGGGAGCTGCGCATGCTCACGCCCGCCTCCCCTCCACCCTACCCAGCCACTGGCATCTCCGGGTCCCGTCCCGCCCCCCAGGCGCCCGTGTGGACGAGCGTCACCCCCACTTCCGAACAAGTTCTCCCAGCAGCCCCACCCGTGCGCGCCCACGGTCCCGGGGAGGACGGGGCGCGGCCGGCCCGGGGGCGACCGGAGCCCGGGCCTTCCTGTCACGGGGAGGAGGGGTGGGGGAGCGGGCTCCGGGACGTGCGGGGCCCGACCCCCGGTCCCGACCGGATCCAACCCGGGCCGAGGCCCCAGCCCGGCCCGCCGCCCCCGGCCCCCCACCCCCGCTTCCTGGGTGAAGGGGAAACTCCACTTTTTACGTGAAAGGGGCGGAGACCCCACAGTTTTCTAGATGACGTACAAAGGTCCCCCCCCCCCGCTTCCTGGGTGGCAGGGACGGGACCCCGCTTCCTGGGTGGCAGGGATGGGGACCCCGCTTCCTGGGTGGCAGGGATGGGGACCCCGCTTACTGAGTGGCAGGGATGGGGACCCCGCTTCCTGGGTGGCAGGGATGGGACCCCGCTTCCTGGGTGGCAGGGATGGGGACCCCGCTTCCTGGGTGGCAGGGACGGGACCCCGCTTTATGGGTGACAGGGGCGGGGACCCTCGCTTCCTAGGTGACAGGGGACCCTCGCTTCCTAGGTGACAGGGGACCCCGCTTTGTAGGTGACAGGGGACCCCGCTTCCTAGGTGACAGGGACCCCCACTTCCTAGGTAACAGGGGACCCCGCTTCCTAGGTGACAGGGGACCCCGCTCCCTGGGTGACAGGGGACCCCGCTTCCTGGGTGACAGGGGACCCCGCTTCCTGGGTGACGGGGGACCCCGCTTCCTGGGTGACAGGGGACCCCGCTTCCTGGGTGACAGGGGACCCCGCTTCCTGGGTGACGGGGGACCCCGCTTCCTGGGTGACGGGGGATCCCGCTTCCTAGGTGACAGGGGACCCCGCTTCCTGGGTGACAGGGGACCCCGCTTCCTGGGTGACAGGCGGGGACCCCGCTTCCTGGGTGACAGGCGGGGACCCCGCTCTCCCGGCGCGGCTCCCGCGCAGCGCACACGTGGGTCGGCAGCCCCGCCCGCCCGGCCGGCCACCCGCACTCACCTAGAACTTTCTTCTCCGCGTCTTCGCCGGCGGCGGGGCCCGCGGGGCCCGGGGCGGCGGGGGCCGCGTCCCCGCCCGGGTTCCCGGCCGCCAGGGCCGGGGCCGCGCCGCCGGCCGCCGGGCTCTTGGGCGCGGGGTCCGGGGCGGCGGCGGGGGCCGGGCCCGGCGGGAGGCCGGCGGCGGCGGTGGCCGCGGCGGCGGGGGCCTCGCCCGCCTCGCTCATGCCGCTGCTCCGCTCTCTGCTCCCCTGGCGGTTGGCGGCGGTTGGCGGCGGCGCGGCGCCGGGCGCGCTCGGGGGGCCGGGGGGGATCTCGCGGCCTGGCCGGCGGCCGGGCGCGCTCGGGGGGCCGGGGGGGATCTCGCGGCCTGGCCGGCGGCCGGGCGCGCTCGGGGGGCCGGGGGGATCTCGCGGCCTGGCCGGCGGCCGGGCGCGCTCACGCGGCGGGCGGCTCAAGCTCGGGCGGCGCTGGCTGCGGCTCGGCGCTGGGTGTCCGGGCCCAAAAATGGCCCCGCGCGAGCTCCTCGCGGCGGCGACGGGTGGGGAGGGGAGGGGAGGGGAGGGGAGGGGAAAAGAGGGAGGGGTGGGGAGGGCGGAGACTGGAGAGCCCGCCCGGGATCCACAGCGCATTTAAAGGCGCCAGAGCCCCGCGGAGCGCCACAGCCTCCAGACCGGAGCGGGAGAGGGAGGGAGGGGGCAGGGGGCGGGGCCCGGGGGGCCGCCTGCCCCGGTGACCCCCGATCCTGACTTGGGAGAACCCCGGGCCGCTCCTCAGTTAACTCTCGCGCAGGGCCCGCAGCAGACCCGGAGTGCGAGGCCCTGCCGCGCCCACCTCTTCAGCGCCCTGCGCGCGCGGGGGAACACCGCCCTGAGGCGCACGTGCAACAGCGCCCCGTGAAGGTGTGCAAACACACCCGGCTTCACCCTCGAAGACGGCACCGGGAGCACGCTTGCACACTCATTTCCGATCCCGCGGAACGACCGTCGTTGCTGCTTACCGTCCAGCTTGGGATGGCGAACTCCCGAGGGGGGTAAGGCCTTCAGGCAGCTCCACACATAACCTCCTTCTGTGGACGTCAATCAGTTGTGCAAAGGGGTTTCTTTGTGCAATGCTTCTCGGCCAGACGCTCCCTCCTAACCACTCTTCCCGGCCACACCAGGCTTGTTTCACACACATATACAAAGATTTTGCCTATATGCGCCCTTCCTCTTCCTCCCTATTTCGTCGCACTAGTTCTACAGCACAGGTAATAGATAGACACGTTTATGTGCATGCATACACAATACGTATACACACACACATGAAATGCCCACCCGACCCTCTTGTATGTGCTCACGTATGTATGCAACACATGGTCACACATGAAACCCACGTCCTCTTGTGTGTTTCTGGTCTAGCATCCACAGAGGAGGCAACATGTATCCTTTGTCCTGAGACTGGCTTACATCACTTAACATGATGGTTTCCACGTCCACCTATTTTCCTTCAAATGACATAATTTCCTTTTTCTTTATTGCTAAGCAATGTTCCATTGTGTATATATACCCCATTTTCTTGATCCATTCAACAGCCGTGGGACACCAGGGCTGTTTCCATAGTTCGGCTGTTGTGAATAGTGCGCACTAAGTATGAGTGTATGTGTAGCCCTGTTATACCGTGACTTAGGATCCTTTGGATAAACACCCAAGAGTGCTATCACTGGGTTAGTTAGGCGGTGGTTCTGGTCTTAGTTTTTGAGGAACCTCCATACAGATTTTCATAGTTTCCTACCCCCCCCCCCAAATCCTCCCCAGCATTCATTGTGCAGGAAGAGCCGAACAACTTAAACAGCAAGCGAATAATCAATAAATGGTCAAGTAAACTGAACAGATTGGTTTCACAAGTACAAATGGCTTATAGCTACATGAAGGAAGAAATAAATGTTCATCAGCTGTACCCACAAGGGAGATGCAAATCAAAACCACATTAAGACTCAATCATGCCTCTGGTCAGAAGAGCAGTCATCAAGAAAACAACAAAGGCAGGCAAGGATGCAAGGCAAAAGGAGCCTTCACACACCATCCGTGGGGATGTGGAGCAGTGTAGCCAGGAAGGAAAGCAATATACAGTTTCCCGACAAACCATGTTTACATCTTCCTCGGGACCTTGCCATGCCGTTATTGGGCACGGGTCAAAAAAAAAAAAAAAGCTTATCCTCTTGTGGTGGAAGCCACAGAACCCCGCTATACGTGTTCCATGGTGAACCACACCACCCACTGAAAGTCTCCTAGTGCCTCTATGCTGGAGACTGCCCACCCATAAGAATTCTGACAAGCACAGATATTCAAACCATCACACCCCATAGCACCTTTTAAATTTTTATGTATTTATTTTGTGCCAGTCCTAAGCCTCTAGCTCAGGGCCTGGGTGGGCACTGTCCCTGAACTTTTTTGCTCAACACTAGTGCTCTACCACTTGAGCCACAACACCACTTCTGGCTTTGTGATGACTCACTGGAGATAAGAGTCTCACTGGGGGGAGGGAGGAAGGGATGGTGGAGGGAAACAAAAGAGGAGAAAACAATGCTTGATAAGAAATGTATTCATTACCTTGCTCATGTAATTGTAACCCCTCTGTATGGTATTTTAACAATTAAAAAAATAGAAAAGAAGAAAAAAAAAAGTCTCGCTGACTTTCCTGCCCTGGCTGGCTTTGAACCACAGTCCTCAGATCTCAGCCTCCTGAGTAGCTAGGATTACAGGCATGAGCCACCAGTAGCACCTTATTTTATTAACACCTGTGTTCTTTTTAAAAATAGAATATAATTTAAAAGTAAAATATGTAATTTTTATAATTAAAGTATATATTATGAAAATATATTTATAATTAAAATTACATTTAACTACCATTTGCAAGTGGAAATTTAGACTTGTAAATTTTCACAAATATATCCACTTAATGTTATTTTACATAGAGATATTTCATCTCTATGTAAAATAAATGTAATAAAATATAATTTTAATAAAACATTGTATTTATTTGCTTTTACTATCTGGGCAACTTACAGCATCTTGACTTTTTTTTTTATCAGTTGTGGGACTCTAACTGAGGGTATTGTCCCTGAGATCTTTTGCTCAAGGCTAGTGATCTACCACTTTCAGCTACAGCTCCACTTTTTGTTTTTGAATGGTTAATTGGAGATGAGACTTTCATGGAGACTTTTCTGCCTGGGGTGACTTTGATCCATGATCTTCAGATCTCAGCTTCCTGACTAGCTAAAGTTACAACTAAAAACTGGTATATCTGAATATGGACAATGTGGACAATATAAACAATATGTTGCAGTAAAGATACTTATCTATTTATTTATTATATCATAGTATTTGCAGGTGGCTTCAAGATTCAGCACCCAAGCCAAGAATGGTGCTATAATTTCAGCATTAAGAAGGTGATAGGAAGAAGGTCACGAATTTGAGGATAGTTTGGGCTACATAGCACAACTCTGTCCCAAATAAACAAAAAGAGATTAATAGCCTACAATAACATGAAATGAAATAATCCTCCAATCCTAACTGTGTGAAACATGGTGTAGTGATAGAGCCCTTATTCGTAAAAGGGCCTGCAATAACATAATACCTGTTTAAGAATTGAACAAAACCAGGCACCAGTGGCTCATGCCTGTAATTCCAGCTACTCAGGAAGATGAGATCTGTAGATTGTGGCTCCAAGCCAGCCTAGGCAGGAAAGTCCAAGAGACTTTTATCTCCTGGAAACTGCTCAGAAAAAGCCAGAAGTAGTGCTGTAGCTCAAGTGGTAGAGGGCTAGCCTTGAGCACAAAGAGGTTCAGGGATATAGTAGGGCCCAGGCCTCAGGCCCCAAGACTGGCAAAAAAAAAAAAAAAGAATTCAACTAAGCTATATAAATGTGAACTTGTTATTTCATTACACCTAATAAGAGAAAAGTGGGAGAATATACGTGAAGTTGTATGAAGTTTCTCACTGAGTAGAAGCAGCGGTGAGGGGTGAGAAGATGACCCAGACCCACCTGCACAGGCCCACAGTCTCTCCAGACAGAGGGTCTGTTGGCGGTTGCACATAGCTCTGACTTTCTGTGGAATGCCCACAGATGTGCTTTGTTGCTGTTCTATCACTCAAGTCCAATAGGAGGAATCTGGTCTAGAAGGGGTCTCCTTCACCCAATCACTCACCCCTCCTTCAGGGCTTAGGAAATGGGGTTCACTGTGACTGTCCAACAGGTGTGACCGGGCACACCTCCTCTTGGTTTCTGGTCTCGGTGAATTCCAGTTCCTCGGGATTATTTGGCTCTTTCCTCACCTCTGTTATGACTGAAACTCTTAAGCAAGCTGGGCACGCTGACAGAAACAGGCCGCGGGGCTGTGGGAAGCAGAAGGCTATCAGGGAAATGTGGGGCTGCATCTATATGCCTTTGCTCCAGGAGTGGAGGGCACTCAGATGGGCATTCAGCTTTGCAATCAGAGGATCCCTCCCATCTGCTCCAAAGAAAAAGCTGGATAAAAACCAACAGGCATATCTTCTGAACAGAGACTTACTCCTCTCCTCAGTTGACCCTTTCCATTTTTTACTCTTGTATTTTCATTTGTCCTTAATTCTCAGCCCAGGTCACTTTTGTATCCATTATTTTTAGGCCTGCTGCTTTTCACAGTAGTGAAAATGCAAAGTTAATTGATATTAGCAGGAGGCACCAAGCATCTGTTTCTTGCCACAGTCTAGATATTTAATAAGGGATCTTATAGCAATCATCTCCAACATTTATATCAGCTCTCCTAAATGAATATTCTTATCTTAATTTTAAAGATGAGAAATCCAAAACTCAGACTGGTTATAAGACTTCCAAAGGTTATAATTCTAGACTAGGTCTTCAAACTCAGATCTACAAGGGTCTAAAAGGAGACCATGTTTTCAAGAATTATGTCTAATAGCCAGGCTATATACAATACAAGCAGCTTCAGAAACCAAACCACCAGAGAGTTAATAACCCAAGTAATACATGGACACAGGAACTGAGCAGACATTTCTCAGAAGTACAGATGGCCAATAAATACAGTAAGAAACGCTCTACATCTATAACCATAAAGGAAATGCAAGTAAAAATAGTGTTCAGATTGTATCTCATGCCAATCTGAACGGCCACCACCAAGAATGTGAACAGAAGATGCTGACTGGAGTTGCATGGGGAGTCATAACCACTATAGAAGCAAGCATGTGGATT